CACGGGCCACCTCCCCCTCGGCGCCCTGCATCAGTCGTTGCCCCGCCACCACACAGTCACCCTCCCGCGCACCACCACCACCACAGCCACCACCACCAGCACCAACCTTCATCACGCCACCCTTAAGCACGCGGAGGAAGACGCTTCCTACAAGTCCTTCTCGCGGGACTCGGGCCACGGCGGCTCGGAGCAGGAGGACTCGCCCCGCGCCGGATGGAACAACCACCACCACCGCTACTCCAACTCGCTCACCGCCGACCTCAAGAACGCTTACCTCGCCAAACTCAACAGCATCAACGCGAGCGGCGGCCTGGACGGGGGCCTCACCTTCCCCAACATGGAAGGCGGCAACAAAGTGATCACAGTGCCCAACAGCTACACGACGCAGCTGTCGCCCGCCGCCGTGCCTCCCGCCGTCGCCGCCATGCTCCGGGGCAACGCCAACACGGCTCGCTCGCACTCTCCTTGGAATCACACGTACATGGAGATCGAGACCGAAGGCGACCCCGTGTACGAGGAGATCGAGCGTGAGCGCTGGGTGGGACGCGCAGCCGGTGTCGTCAACGGACCGACGGGCCAGGAGACGCTGCAGGTGTCCGACCTCTCCGACGAGGACATGAAGCGAGGCACGCCGAGCGACATGAGCCGACAGTCCTCCAGAAGCTACGGCGACGCCCGACCCCTGCTTCCGTATCACCACGCTCAAGGCCACCACTTCCCTCGGAGCCCGCAGGACCAACAGTTCGCTCTCAGTGAGGAGAGATTACGGGACTTCAACGCAGCTCAGATGAGTCGAGATCTGGAACAGCTGCAGCAGGCACAACAGCATCTTTCGCGCGACAACCTGATGACCGTGGCAGTCTTGAACGGGGAGCAGGTGGTCTGCCGCTTGACGTCGCCCTCGAACCCCCAGGCGCCACAGAGCCTGCCAGTCATCCACGAGGCCGGCGGACGAGGCCTTGTGGCATCCCAGACCCTGAACGGGGAGCCCGCCCACGTGGTGGTGTCGCGGGGCCCGCACTATAGACCCCAGCAGTTCAGCGAGTGTTAGTGATGTTCGTGTGTGCTGCAGTGGAGACTACTTTGGTCTTATAAATGGAGTATGTAAGAAAATGCCGGCTTGAGTCATTAGCGAGTTGTCTTTAGACTACTTCTTCACTTGTGCTTTCCAGCTGGACGATTGGAACTCTATAGTCTGAATAGTTACCGACTATCTCAAATCCAGTTGGCATTATCCTTGATGGTGCAAGGCGTATTTCCATACCGTTTGGAGTTCTTGTTTTAAGTATTTGTAAACTTCAATTTCCATTTTTTTGTGAGCCTGAAAGAGTGCGCGAGAAAACAAAGAGACTAAGTAGTGCACTCAGCTGCAAAAGGGGCATCATGGCGGAAACGGACACGATTTCCTGCAACTTTGATAACTAGTCGATGTACTTTCTTATTTATTGGTCTCATTTTATTTTTACACACCGCGGAACTTTTGTAGCTCTGTGAAAGTGGTGTCGAAGCCTTTGTGATTTTTATATGTAAGAAGTGTTATATTTCTGTTAAGTGTGCTACATTCCAGAGTTTTAGTGTTTAGTTTCGTCAGACGTTGGGTTCAAGCCTCAGTGCCACAGTGCTCTATACTTCGCTTCAGAATCACACCAGTTAACGTGAATGGCTATTAGAGGAAGTGCCTTTTTCGGTCCGAGGAGTGTGTACATGTATAAAGGAAATATTTGGATGTATATAATGATGTAAATAGAATATATTTATATGTACGTTTTCTTAATGAAAAGCCAAAGCTTCTAGACGTAGAAGAGTCTTCGAGAGTCATTTCCAACGGGCCTTTCCTTTGCTTAGTGGAAGAGAAACACTGATACTTTTTATGTTATATACTTCACCGGCAGTGGTTCCAGGGAGTAACGGGCTGTGGTTCCAGGAGGTCACTAGCTGTGGTTCTTGGGAATGCCAGCTGTGATTCCGAAGGATCGCCAGGTATGGTTCCAAAGAGTCACCGGTTGTCAGCAGGTAACTTGTTGGCTGATGCCTCACTTAAACTCACCTGTAGCTTCCCCGGGTTGTCACCGGTGGCTTTCGGGTCGCGGTCGCCCGGTTTTTGCCTCACCTACATCACCCGCAGCAGGTCTTGGTCCACAGCAAGCCAGGGTCATGTGGTGGGCAGTTAACTTCATTGTGGCATCACTGCATTTTCGTTGCATCATCTCATCCTTATGGACAAACTTGTACCTTCAGGTCCGTTGTCTGCCCACGCACATCGCCTACAGTGTTGGAGTAAACACACTGTGCTTGTGGATCCATATTAAATCTCCAGCTTAGACTCCTTTTATTCAGGTCAGTGTGAATCTAAGCTGGAAGAATGTAAAGTAGGTAGCTCCCACAAGCTTGGCCAACCCCTGGGACCCGCGCCTGCCATCATCTCTTCTCCAACTTGTGAGCTGTGATACGTTGAATAGATAATCAGTGTAAAAATATGACAATAAAATGTTTAAATGGATTTATTGGTTTGTTTGTTATTAATGCACGCGTCATGGATTCCTTAAGGTACTGCAGACATTGCGTTATCGTTTATCTATTTCGTGTCTTAAATGCAATATTTTGTCATACAGAATCATGTGAGAAAAAATGGAAAAAAATGGAAAATTTTTTTGGTATTATACATAGAATGAGGTGCGGATGGAAATACAAGAATTTTGCAACGTAGGGAAAGCAAATTTATTCTCCCCAGTAATGTTGCATTTACAATATTGCTTTATATTAACAGTATTGGAGATACCCAGGTGGTAAGCCTTTGTTTGCGGTAATTTTATGAAAATAACAGTGACGTGAACATTTTCATAATTACTATCGCACAAATTAACTTGATGCAAAGTGGAATTGAGAATGTTTTATGAAAATTAGATTGCTGAATATGAAATCCTCTGATGTTTATCATGATGCAAATTAAACAGACGTGGTAACAATTGCTATTATAACGAGAGACAACATTTATTTCCATGTATGAAGACTAGCTATTGCCATACAGGAATAAGTGTAACATACACAGTGAAAAGGATACAGACGCTTCAACAATATCGACTTAAATGTACATGATAAGACAATTATAAACAAGAATGAAGCTTTTATCATATCTCTGGAGCTAGAATCACCGCCAGGGATTCGAAGAAACTAATAAGCGATTCGCTTCAATCAAAAAATTTTGAAGCCAAAGTAAGAAATCGTTTTTTAATCATTTCTTTCTTTTTTTTAAAACAAAGAAATATTTTTTTTCTTTTAAAGCCAAATAAATATTTCCTTTTAAAGCCAAAGATTTTTTTTTTCTTTTAAAGTCAAATAATTTTTTTTTCTTTAAAGTCAAAGAAGTATTTTCTTCCTTTTAAAACCAAACTATTTTTCCTTCTTTTTAAGCCAAATAAATATTTCCCTTTTTTTCTTTCTCTCTTTTAAAGCCAAAGAAATATTTTGTTTCTTTCTTTTAAGACCAAAGAAATATATTATTTCCTTCTTTCTTTCTTTAAACATGTTCTCTCAAAAGACCCACTAATGACATACGTGATATAGAAGGAAAATAGACATGGCAAAGATCAGAGTGGAAATGACGATACGAATACGAATATGGCGATAATTATGATAAGTACAATGGCAATAATGAGTGATAATGACAAGACTGATATTAATCATGAGGATGATAGTCGCATTGACAGGATAGTGATGATAATAGTAGAAATTATGATTATAATAAAAGTAATCATGATTTGTATTGATAATAGTAGTACCAACAACAATTGCTGGTAATAATGGTAGTAATAATTATAATAATAATCGTGATGAGTAATGATAATAAATAATGATAGTAGTAGTGGTAATAATGATAGTAATATTGATAACAACAAGTGCAATAGTAATGATAACGACAATAATAACTAATAATAATAATAATCATGATAATGGCAATAATAAAAATGGTAATGGTAACTTTGTGAGGGTAGGAAGCGACACAACAAAGAATTAATGGTTAGTTTGAATTTAGGATTTGATGAGAAAGACAGTGAGGAGTCATCTTAAAGGACCGACAGTGAACACCGGGAGAATAGTAAGAGAAAAGGATAAAGAATGGGAATAGAGAGACGAGAAAAATAAAAGAGAGAAATGGATAGTAAAAGTAATCATGATTTGTATTGATAATAATAGTACCAACAACAATTACTAGTAATAATGGTAGTAATAATCATAATAATCGTGATAAGACTGATGATAATGGTAATAATGATAGTAGTGATGAAAACAAGGTAGGAAGATCAATATTGCCTTTTTCGGAAAGACGAAACGAGGAACAACAGTAAAAATTAAGGTAACAGATTTTTTTTAAATCCACAGAGGGTGTGCTTGAGACTGAAACAAAAACTAATTCAAAACAAAGTCATGAACGAAATAAGGCCACGCTTCACCAACAAACAAATTAACAATAAAAATTAAGATAGAAAAAAAACTAGATAAAAACAAAGTTACGGACGAAATAAAACCACGCTTCTGCTCCATCCGGGACTCCTCCGCCTGCTCCATCCGGGACTCCACCTGTACGACGCTCGCGGGCCGTTCAAAACACGAATCTGCGGAAGACAAAATTGGTAACAACACGAAGGGAAAAAACAGATTCCCTTGTGAAAATCAAATAATCTTATTTACCGTTTCGATCCAGGAATGCAATTTTGGCGCCGAGAAGAATGTAGAGCAATCGTAATAAAGAGAAGAGACGTTGAAGGATATGATGGAGTGAATTTTTCAGGTGGAGAAGTCTTAAATTAAATTAAATGCGATTTAGTATTCGAGAATGGTAGGTGTAGATGTCAGCATGGGAATGGTACGCGTCATGTCATGGAAAATGGTAGACGGAGATGTCAAAAGGGAAATTGTGGGATTAGATGTCGTCATGGAGATCAGAGACGTAGATACGTAAATACCATCATGGAAATGGTAGACGTAGATATCATCATGGAAATGGTAGACGTGGATATAATTGTGGAAATGGTAGATGCAAATATTATCATGGAAAAGGTAGACCTAAATATCATAAAAATGGTAGACGTAGATATCATCATGGAAATGGCAGACGCAAATATTATCATGGAAATGGCAGACGCAAATATTATCAAGGAAATGGTAGACCTAAATATCATGGAAATGGTAGACGTAGATATCATCATGGAAATGGTAGATGTAAATATCATGGAAATGGGAGACGCAAATATTATCATGGAATTATTATCAAGGAAATGGTAGTGGAAATGGTAGACGTAGATATCATATGGTAGACGTGGATATCATAGAAATAGTAGACGTAAATATCACCATGGAAATAATACACCTAATCATCTTCAAAATATTAGAAACAAAAAAGGTTCCCCCCAAAGAAGCTCTCGGACCAACACAAAACCGCGAGACCTCAAGCCAAAATAGCCACCCTAGCGATAGGCCTACGAAAGGCCGTGTCACACTAGTACTTTTTCCGTCAATTTTTTGACAATTTTATTTAACATAAATACAAACATTATCGAATATAACTCTTGATTTGACTATGCTTGGCTGAAAAAGTTGACGGAAAGGTTTTCAGACGGAAACGATCATTATCGTCTGACTGGAAAATCGACAATTCGCTCAAAAATGGAAAAAATTTCAGAAAATTGTAAAAAAAAAATTGACGGAAAAGTGCTAGTGTGACAGCACCTAAGGAACGCACTATGTAGAGGAGAAAATGGAGATGCTTGATAAACTGTAGTAAATGCAAGACGCCATATCCTTCGTACTTCAAATACATATCCCTTTTGTCGCCATTACTGCGATTATTAGTACTATTAGTAACACAAGGGAAAGTAGAAACAATAATAACAGTTGTAGATACACTGTAGACAATGCACGGCGCCCTCCACCCTTAAGAGTGATGTTTGTCGACTGCGTGTGAAAGGAAAACCAATATATATATATAGACATATATATGTGTGTGTGTATATATATATATATATATATATATATATATATATATATATATATATATATATATATATATATATATATATATATTATATAATATATAATATATATATATATATATATACATATATATATATATATATATATTATATATATATATATATATATATATATATATATATATAAAGGGAGTGTCTGCTAAAGCATCAACGCACCAATTTTTGACGTCAGGAAAAAGGGTCGAAACGAAGCACACAGAACAGATCCATCGAAAAGACGCCCAAAAATCTTAATTCTTGAAGAAAGTTTAGATTACACGAGGAACTGTGGTTTTAGGAGAGAAATCATTTGGAAAAGGAAACTGCATATTCGTGCCGAAATAATTTTGGAACGACGATTACACTGGAAAAAGTGGCATCAACCTCCGTGTTGTGAGAAATGAAATATAATATTATTGGCAATAGTATGTATGGCAATAATGATGATGATGATAATCAAAATAATAGTAATAATTACAATAATAATAGTAACAGTAATAACAAAAAGAGAAGAGTGATAATAAAGTTAATGGTATTGATGACGATAGTAATATGATAACAGTATTGTTAATAATATTAATAATAATAATAATGATGATGATGGGACAGAGTAATATCAATAGCAGTAATAATAAAAAAACAATGATAATAATAATAGTAATGATAATATGAATAAGAACAGTAATGGCAGAAATACCAGGAATAATTAAACAATAGCAATAACAATAATTATAATGATGATAATAAGGATAATAATAAAGATCATAATAATAATAATAATGATCATAATAATAATGATAATAATGGTAATAATAGTAATTATAATGATGATAATAATAGTAACAATAATGACAATAATAACAATGGTAATAATGATAATAATAATAATAACAATAACAATGATAATAATTATGATAATCATAATACTGATAATGATGATGAATGACAATAATGATGATAATGATAGTAACAATGGTAATAACAACGACAATAGTAATAATGATAATAGTGATAATAAGATGATAATAAAAAAAATAATAATAATAATAATAGCACAACGACAATAATAATCGCTCACACACACACTCACTCACTCCACTCACATCTCTATCTCAATCCCCCCCCCCCCCACCCTTTCCCCCCCCCTTACCCCTTCCCCACGACCCCCCCCCTAAAAAAAAAAAAAAAAAAAAAAAAAAAAAAGATAAAACAAGACAACAGGAACAGACATCAGCCAAACACATGCTTTACATAAGCCGCCCAAACAGCCTTGCTCACGCGGTTACGTCATTGTAAAGACCACATCTCCTGCTATGATATCCCAGCATCTGCTCGTTTTCGCCACATGGCCTCCGTTTTTCGTGTTTGTCATGACAGAAATGCAGGCGGTCCTGTGGATTGGCAAAGTGGTTCAGTTAAGATATATGCATATATATATATATATTATATACTATATATATATATTATATAT